AAATTATACCTTAATTAATAGAGAACGGTCAAGTAGATTAAAATTTTCATTTACGTCCCTACTAGTGAGATTAATGTCTATATGCATGTAAAGGAACAAATAAAACATATAACTATGATATATGGAGGAACAATATGTGTATTACATAAATAGGATGCCATGGCAAGGGAATGAAGACAATCTTATTGACCGTTTTGATGTGCGTGCTCATCTTGATTGGATACCAGAAGCACCAGATTCTATCGATGTAGATATTGCTCTTACTAGTGAAGATAGACATATCAATTATGAACGTTATCGTATAATTGTGCAAAATGAATTTTTAGGAGGTGGGGTATTACTATTATTTTGATGCCTCATATATCTTATTTTTGAAACTGTTCCTAACTAATAGTTTTCAATACAGTAACGGAAGAAAAGTTTCTACACCAAATACATTTGGAAGAACAATTTGGTTCATCAACCAAATTAGATGCTGCAAGAGACAAGAAAAAATCTAGTAATAATGTAGCTATTGGATACAATTATGATACAGAGGAACCAATACCAGAAACAATAAAATCATTAGATACCGTTGTATCTGATGAGAAAGGAGATGATGAAGATAGTGATATTGATCTAGGTATTATAAGCCTTCTTTAAATAATTTCAAAGCCTTACATATTCTTAGCAACCTAGATACTCTTCTTTTTTTTTAGATATTTGTGTGGACGTTTCTCAAATTGAGCCATCACAAGCACACGAAATGAACTTAGTAGCTCAAAAATATGGACTTTTAGGAGCTGATTATTTTAGTTTTTTAACACAAGATTTTGAAGAGGCAGAAACTTTGAGACAAGCACGTAAACAAGAAGAAGAGAAAGCTATGTATTCGGTAAAATAATTTTATTTTATTGTGACATTGTTGTACAGTAAAAAAGAATTGGAAAACATTTTTTATTACTACATTATAATATATTTGTATAGGGCAGAAGATCACGTAGAGAAAGACGTGCATTTAGAGAGAAAAAGATGATTGGTCGAGTTATGAGTCCACCCAGGTAATTATGCATGGTCTGAGTATAAAATTGTTTTCAATTAATTTATTAATAAATTTAATAAGTCTAATTAAAAATCTTTTATTTTTATTTTATTATTAGTTACGCAGCCAGAGAAAGTCCTGAATACAATCCCTACAGAAAATCTTCGTCCAAATCTCGCTCAAGATCTACGTCACCTGTAAATACTGGACAAATTACATATATTACAAGTTTCGGCGGCGAAGAAGAAACTCATGGAAGCTCATCTCACGTTACTTCTTCGAATTCAAGAAAAATCAATTATTCTCATCTTAGACGAAGGAGATCAGATAGTCCGATGCTTAATGAAAGAACAATAAATAGAAAATTTTCAAAGTCAAGATCAAGAAGTTGTTCTCGATCTGTTAATAAACCAAAATCTTATAGAAATCGTGACAGAAAACGAAGTACATCGAGAATGAGGTAAATTTACTCATACTTCACATATTTATACGCCTATAATTTGAGATGTACTTAAAATGATTAAGTTACATGATTTTCAGATCAAGAAGAACACGTTCACGACATAGAAAAGTTACAAGATCTAGGACAAGAAGTCGTTCTAGACGTCCACGAAGTCGAAGTATATCCAAGTCTCGTTGCAGAAGTTTTAGCAGATCTCATTCGCGTACAGTTTCGAGATCAAAAACAAGATCTAGGTCTCGTTCCCGCGCAAAAAGATCTAGAAGCTTATCATCAAGCAGTTCGTCTAGGTCAAAGTCAAACTCAAGATCAAGATCAAGATTACGATCGAAATCAAGATCCAAATCGCACAATAGAAGCCACTCGAGAGATAGTTATCGCCGAAGACATTATTCTCAATCAAAATCAGTATCTAAATCTCGATCCAGGACTAAATCTCAATCTAGATCCAGATCAAGATCAAGAAGTCAGACAAGATGCAAGCGATCCCGAAGCATTGAAAACAAAGCACAAGCACTGCCAAGGTAAGATGTATATTTATTTTCGTATATATAGAATTTGTAATATAACTTATCTTATTTATTATAATACCAGATATTATGGTCGTCGTGGCAAATCATCAAGTTTAGAATTGGAATTATCGGATAACGAAGATAAAGTTTCTACGACAGCGCCGAAACCATCCGTTAATAACACTTCGAGCATGTGAGTTGATGAAGAAATAATATACAGCATGCATTACTCATATTTTGAATAAATTAAGGCCAAACTGTTTTTTAATATTTCAGGAGCAAGCCAAAAGCAGGGTTAAGTACAAATTCTGGTGGCGGACACAAAGTCAGTAAGAACCATAACACTTACTTAGTCACTAAAAGCACAGAGAATAAAGACAGTATATACTCTCTAATATGTAACTACCCTCTCAACGAAGAACCCTCAGCAAGTGCAACTTGTTTTCATTCTGTTGGGCAATATAAGGCGTTTATATTATATTTCACATTCCATATCTTATTATTTTGATCCGATTCAGTTTCACGTATTTCTCGATAGGATACCACAAAGAATTTGAATTTCATTCATACTAAAATATTTATCAATATCTTAAATTTCATTATCGTAATTATAACAACATAAGTAAATTTATATCAAGGTTATGAAAGAATTAAAATTTCTTTCTTTCAGAATCTTAATAAGGAAAATGTTTGTTTTAAGTAGTACTGTTATATTAGAATGGAAACATCAAATTTTTTGTGGTACAACTTCTTTCTTTTGTACAAATAATAACATACATGGATATTTTATTGTAGAATATATATTA